TTTACCCAATGGTCACGACCCACGGCCCTAAATTTTGACACAAGTGAGCTCACATACAGAACAACCCATCTTGTGAATTCGGTGGTTCTAGCTCTCTTAGTATTTCAGATCTCAGGGGTTCGAGGTGACCCCCACCGAGCGAAGGGTATTCAACCGGCTACCCGGGCGCATGTGTTACAAGCGCAGAACGAGCAGTTGCATCACAGCAGTTGTGCACGCAAGCGCGACCGTCCGTGAAATCCATAATTTTGCTGATCTAGTGCTGACACTTTTTGATATGATCGTCCGTTTTCTCCTGCGTTTGTGGCTGTCTTTTTCGTGTCGCTAAAACACCAGGCGTGAGCAGTGACGCAGTCTTCAGCCGTTTTTTTTAGCTTGTTTTCGAGAGTCGTAAATTTCACTTTTCATGCTAACCGACTAAGGGAGGTGGAGTTGTGGTGATAATCCAACGTTTCATGAAAATGCTCTCTATTCATCAGTTCGCCTAAAAATGTCTAGCGACTCAACGAACAATTCCTTAGGCGTTGTAGCTGAACACTGCATGAAGCCGACAGAAGTGGTTGCAAACATATGATATTCCAGAGTGTGAAGACCGAGCCGCTTAGTTTAAACACGACTCATAATCAAATCGAGACTCGGTAAGCCCCTGGCCAATCTCATGATCGACACAAACCATGCATCAACAAGCAACTGCTGGGCGTAAATCGGACCGGGTGTGGCTGCTAAAATCGAGGATTTTGTTTCATGGGTCTGACCATGACCAAGACCAGTCCCAACCAGAAGTCCCAACGCCCTACTTCCCTACAACGCCGTACTTCCAAGCAATTACAGGCGCAAATAACCGTTGCAGTTGACGCACCCTTAAAGCCCAACAACTAGCTCAACCCCCATTAATCACAGGATTTACATTGAACAGCAGGTAGGACATGAACGCTGTGCGAACACACGAGCGGACACATTTCACCCAATTTAAGACAGACATCGTGATAAAAAGATCAACTTTCATGCGAGGCAAAGGGTTGAGCGACCAAATGCCGCACTGCGCGAAAGAAAAACAACAGCAACAGCACTTCGGGCATCGTTACGACTCGAGCTCCCGGGGCGAGCGCCCACCCCGCGGTCGGCGACGGCCCGGCCGCAGCGGCCCAGCCCACTCACGCGGGTACTCATCGCCGGGAATGCTGCAGTCGTAGAACTTGCGGCTGGTGCTGGCCGTGAACATGAGTCGCATGGTGGAAAGGCGACGGCCCGAGAGCCGGATGGGCCGCGCGTGCGCGTATCCCAGCGCGCCGGACACCGCCTGCCGACAGTCGGAGGCGACGGTCAGAGGCGCCGGGCCGGCCCACCCGCCGGCCGGCGCCGGCTGGGCTCGCCACGGCCGCTGCCGTCTGCCGGCCGACGGCAGCAGCGGCTCGGAAGTCAGAGGCCATGACTAGCGCACGGCCTTCTCGTGTTCAAGCACAACCAGGGGTATAATGATCAAATCATTGAGCCCATCGATCCTGAGAGCATGTCACGAACATGCCGGGAACGCATGTCAGACGCAGCAGCCACGCCAGCAGAGGGCACGCCTCAGCCGGCGAGCTCACCGTGAGCACGCGCTCCTTGCAGCGGGCCCGGTTGCAGTAGAGCGCCGCCTCGCCCGGGTACCAGACGAGTACAGTGGCCGTGACGGTGGGCAGGCGGCGCGCCTGCGCCAGCCGCTGCAGCTGTCGCCGCTCGAACAGCACCACCCAGACAGCCTCCTCGAACCAGGCGACGGCCGCCTCCTGACGGTGCGGCGCCAGGGCGACGGTTAGCGGCACGGGACCGAACGGGGACGGGGACGGGGACGGGGACGGGGACGGGGACGGGGACGGGGACGGAGACGGAGACGGGGACGGGGACGGGGACGGGGACGGGGACGGAGACGGGGACGGGGACGGGGACGGGGACGGGGACGGAAACGGAGACAGGGACAGAGACGGGGACGGAGACGGAGACGGAGACGGAGACGGAGACGGAGACGGGGACGGGGACGGGGACGGGGACGGAGACGGGGACGGAGACGGAGACGGAGACGGAGACGGAGACGGAGACAGGGACAGAGACGGGGACGGAGACGGAGACGGAGACGGAGACGGAGACGGGGACGGGGACGGGGACGGGGACGGGGACGGGGACGGGGACGGGGACGGGGACGGGGACGGGGACGGGGACGGGGACGGGGACGGGGACGGGGACGGGGACGGGGACGGGGACGGGGACGGGGACGGGGACGGGGACGGGGAGCGGGACGGGAGCGGGACGGGAGCGGGACGGGAGCGGACGGAATCGGACGGGGACGGGGACGGGGACGGGAGCGGGACGGGAGCGGACGGAATCGGACGGGGACGGGGACGGGAGCGGGACGGGAGCGGACGGAATCGGACGGGGACGGGGACGGGAGCGGGACGGGAGCGGACGGAATCGGACGGGGACGGGGACGGGAGCGGGACGGGAGCGGACGGAATCGGACGGGGACGGGGACGGGAGCGGGACGGGAGCGGACGGAATCGGACGGGGACGGGGACGGGAGCGGGACGGGAGCGGGACGGGAGCGGACGGAATCGGACGGGGGTGGGCGGAGACGTGACGTAACGTGACGGCATGGGGCGGAGGCAGGCCAGGACGCGGCCAGCGGCCGTCTGCCTGCGGGCCGCGCTGCGGTGGTCGGGTCTCCCGTCCATTAAATGCTGAGCTACCCGACACGGTGACGCGCGTGAGGAGACGCGGTACGGGCCAAGCTTCTCGCCTTGTGCACACTGTGTGCCGATTAACGGGCTTCATGCCCCGGCACGTGGACCGTCCGTCACCGCAGACGGGTTGTCAGACCCTGTGTGTGTCACGCTGGAAGGCATGCCTGGTGGGCCGCCTGCTGGTCATTTTCGGACAGCGCCGCTCCCCCTGTGGACCAATAACGCGGCGTCTAACATCCCATTCGCGAGACACAGGCCCTCGTAAGCACGAGCCGGGACTCTCGACCGTGGAGGGCACCAGCGCAGGCTAATAGACTCAGTAACTGGGCCCCTCAACCCCCAACACTACCACCACGAACACCAAGGTTACACAAGCAAGACACACGACCATAAATGGGTGTCTTGAACGCCTTATTTATGTCGTACTGAAAAGCAGCGCAACCATGCTACTTGAACACGTCTCGATCTCGGACGATATTGATCAACATCCACAGCTCGTGTTGCTGCAATGCAATTACGGTTGTTGTGACAATGCATTTTAGCGCCCCACTCGCCTAAGCCTCTGTGTGGATTTTTATCCGAGTTTAGAACATGAGCGCAATACATTTACCACCAGTTTGTAACACGGGCGCAATATATTTACCACCCGTTTGGACCATGGGCGCAATATATTTATGTTTACCACCCGTTTGGAACACGGGCGTAACATTTTTACCACCTGTTTGGAACACGGGCAAACTATATATTACCACCTGGCTGGAACATAGGGCAATAGAGTGACCACCTGTTTGGAAGACGGGGGTAACTTCAATACACACCTGTTTGCAACACGGGTGCGGAATACATACATATTACAACATATTTACGGAATACGGGGCGCAATACGTTGGCCGCCGTTCCTGAGGTTTTTCAAGACGCGGCGGTGCCAGCGTCATCACACTGGCGTTGTCCAGGCCGTGCTCGATGCGCAGGCCGATCTTGCGGCGCCCGCGCGGTGACGTCACAGGATCGACGCCGGACAGCCCGAACGTGTGCCAATTGCTCGACTCGCGGCCGGCCCGTAACTCTGTCGGGCCAACGCGAAGCTGTAGTATCCCACCTAGCCACCAGGCGGACCTCAGCGACCAGCGCAAACGGGGAAAGGCAGACGGGGGGATATGAAACGTGACGGGGGATAGAGGTCAGGGAATGATGACGAGACAGGGGCCAGGGCCGGGGACATGGGCAGAAAATGCAAATATTGTGCCAAAACATCAATCATCAATAATGCCATCAAATAAGTGTGAGGGTTATCAGACAGATGGCCGGCCAGGGCGGTGCTATGCGTAACTCGTTTGTGATGTAAAGCTCATGACGATCATATGGTACCACATTACTGTTTATGCTGTGCCGGGTGGCAGGTAATAAACTCAGCCACCATGGCTCACACAATTGGCAAGATTGCTATGCAAGTTACTACTTACTTAAGCAGATGGCATCCTTCAGCAGCTCTATTTTTGAAGGCATATCCTGAAAATTGAAACAATACAACATCAGTAGATCAGGATATGGTTTCACACTGACCAATTTAGTCAAGATCAGGACAATGATATGTGTGCTGTAAGCCAATGGGTGCATCAATAAATCGGCATACATTAATGCATAATTAAATGTGGCTAACTTTATCAGTGCTTGAGGCAGGACAAGGAAAAGCTTACAAATATGGGGAGAAGCATGCACTAAGCCATTAAAAAGGGAATGTAGGGAATGGCAACCAACAGTGTGAAAAATGATACCCAGCAGAACAATGATACCTAAAAGTTAATGTAAAGTTCATTCAGGATAAGTCACAGTCTGCCTTAATGCACCTAGGCATTTCAGTGAAAAAAAATGGATGCATACCATTTCATACACTTTGTTCTTAACAATCCTCATCATGTCCTTTGTAGATACCGATCTTGGGACCTTGGCTTTGGCCGCCATCAGGAGATCCTGCTGAAGTGGTGTCTTCAAAACCTACAATAAATGGCACCTGTTAGTAAAAACAAGAGTAAAAATGCAACATTTTAGGGAAACTTTAAAGGAACATTAAAATAGCATAAATATGTGGTCACACTCCAGGCTACAATACTGTAGTGTACATGTTGATTTTTGGCAGGTATGAAATATTCACCACGAGACATAAAAAATAACTAAACCTTCACATATCTCTCCAACAAACATTGTATATGTGTTTCCAGGATGTAATTCTGACAATGACCACAATTCACGTCATTTCAGAGCTGGTTGGAGGCCTACCTGATTGATGAGACGTTCCAGACGAATGTCAAGCAGGCCGCTGCTGAGCAGTTGCTCACCATCCACATTGTCTGTGTCCCCACTCTCATGGTCATATTCAAGATCAGCCATCATAAAACATTGGCAGGAGGAATCTAGAAAAGTGCATGATAGCGCAGGATATCAATACACCAGCATGGAGACTTGATCACACATTCCAGGCTAAAAGTAATATGAAGGAGGTAGCAGCAATGCTTTGCTTCATTTCCTCATGATGCCATGTTGTTTTATGGTTAGTATGGCTGATCTATGAACAGTGCACAATCAAGAAAACTTTGTTGGTGGGCAGATCAGAAACATGCTGACGTTAACAGAATATAAACAATCACCTGACCATTTAAATGTTGCATCACACTTAGGATCCAAATAAATTTGTTTTAAAAATAATTAAGAGGCATGGAGACATTTTAGACATGAATCAGCAGAACAATTAAGCTAAAATCATATTGAAAACACATGGTGGGATATTTTGAGAGGTTAGTACTGCCAAACCAGGCTTTTAATTTCACTCTCTCGACATAAACTGAAAGTCTTGATTAACATTCCCAATGAACTCCAACACCTTACATTGTAAACACTTCACTTATGCAGCACACAGTATACATACTCGTACAGTATTTACTACACATATAGTCCCAACTAACCAATGTTAAGCCCAAATATTTTGTGCATTTGTGATAATTTCATCTTGCTCATTGCCACACAATGGGTTCAGAGTCCATATGCTGTGTCATTGACCTTTAATACACCAGTGAGTACTGGTCAAGCAGCATTAGAGTGCAAAGCTTGACCCCACTCTTGCATGTGTATGCTGAGGCAATGGAGGACATCTGAGTTTGGGGGCCAATAATTGTAGTCATTTTTGGTAACTTCTATCCAATTACTATCCTTGGGGATAGTATTAAGTTCTCAAACAGTTGGAAGTTCAGCACCCCGGCTTCCCTATTCATGCACCACCTTAGGTATGCACATGCACTGACATGCATAGGTAGTGTACTTTACCGTGTATGCTCAAGGTGTTTCACATATACCATCGCCCCATTTCATGAAATTGTACCACTTTTGCCATTTAAAGAAAATATAGTTCGCGTCATACTCACGTTCAAAACAACCAGCGTTCGGTGTGATAAGGCCACAGCCCTTTTTGGCGATTTTTCAAATAATACGCAAAAAATACATGCATGGTGAAACAAGTTCTATCAGTTTTGAGCCTCCGCAAGCAGGAGCACACTCACTACCAGAGAATGTAAACAAAAACAAACCTTGGGAAGCAGGAAATGCATTAACAGCTCCCACTGCAGCTTAACATTTTTATTCAGAAGGTTGATATTCACTTCCTACCGTTGTACACTTTGTATTCAAGCGCCAGTTGCCGATGTTCAAATTTGGCAGCAATGCTTATTACCATGAAAAATATTGAAGAAAGAAGTAGCAGAATGATCTTGGCAATGTCTGTTTCTGCTATCTCTCGCGTATGTTTTGGATAAATGACGGAGAGAAAGAATTTATATGTCATTTTCTACTAACTTGCAAGAACTAAAAGTGAATGCTTCAAACCTGATATACCTGACTGAACCATTTGATTACCTTAAAGTGGCGGAAAGTATGCAAAGCTTTTGGCATGCTTCTTATAAATTAATAACAGGGTGAAAAATCGGTACTTCAAATCAGAGTTGGTTCAATCGCTTTTCATTCACTTCATGTTTTCTGCCGACCGTAGGTAAATTTTATGCCGTGAATCTGGTATCCGAATGTGCGTTATATATGGCGCAGTACGTCCGTCGTTTGTTTATGTCGGATTTGCCATTCGCGTGTGGAGTTCGCGCGTGGGCGGTGTCGTCGTGGTTTCTGTGGGTGGTTGAAATGGCGATTCTTGTTTAGTGCATATAAATGTTCGGTCATTCTAATGCGTTGCTATGCGGTAAGGCGAAGCTAAAAGTGTTGGGGTAATTCCGGCCGAAGCGCTCAAAGCGAACGGCGAACATCTCGTTCAAGGTTTGGCGGCCCGTTGGTTCCGAAAGCAATTCAACTCTTAAACCGGAAAATACGGTGTGAGGCAGTGCTGGAGAGTAAGCGCATATTTCACTTTTGTGATTTCTGTGTGGTGAAACCGGATCCAAGATGGGCACATCTCAAACCAACAAAGAAAACGGGAAAGGAACACCCGAGAAGAATAACCAGCATGCAAGGGGCAAAACCTCCTTTGCGCGAGTTGTACTGCTTGATGGGACTCTGTTTGAATGCTCAGTTGAGGTAAGCTGGTCAGAGATCTCTGTACTATCTCTGAATGCCTGTGACCCTTCGAATGAAACCTTTGGTTTAGGTCTACTGCAGGGATGGGGCAACCTCATGGGTATTGGGAGACCACATGAGTTTTGAATCATTTCTTGCCATGCATCATCATTGGGTTGATGTGAAGTTTTTCAGTGATGGGGCAGATGCGATTCTGCCTCATAAGTCTTTTGCCCATATTCCTAAGGCTGTTATGAAAATTTATGAGCAGATCCAATCATTTGCAGGATGCAAGATGATAGGTATGTGGTTTGGTTATGGTGCGGGCCAAACAAATCAAGTATGCAGGTGGGGGTAGCTTCATGAGCACCAGTGGTCACCAATGATGCCTGATCAAAGGGAATTTAAGTTGAATAAATTTATTATATCAGCTAAGTGCCTGCTGAGACCATAAACCACAAACCAGGCTGCCAGAAATGCATGCTGTGCAGAATGTGCCTGGCCAAGCAGTGACATACTGGTAGAAATGTCAGTGTATGCACAGCATAGATCTAAGTGCTCAGAGTTAAGTGCATGATAACCAACAGTTTAAGAGGTAAAAGGAGCTGGTGTTGCAGGAAATTATTATCTCAAAGGTAATTTCAGGTAAGAATGCCCAGAAAACCAAAATGATGTGACAAGTTAACAGAATGTGGCCTGTATTTTGCACATCTGTGTGCTAGGCTTAGCATCCCTATATGATTAAGGCATCCTGCATGGGTATCCAGGGCAGTGGGTGAACTTTTTACAGATCGGCCATCCTGTAAGCCAATGACTTGTGTGCTCACGGCTTTCCTGCGCTACTTTCTTGTGACAAAGCTAACCAGGTGAACATAATCAAAGAGTTTCAAATATGTTCAGGTTATCAAGTTGCAAAATTACTCATGTGAGCAATACCTTATGACTGAACTTCATCCCAACCATCATCATAGCAATGAGTAGTATCTTATGTGTAGATGTCCAAGTACATGTAAGACATCAAAGTTTGGTGTCAAATATATTACTTTATACTAAAAGCTCTTTAATGAGATATTCATAAAATTTAGCATAGTGACCTGTGAGATACCTCAGGCATCAAACCACCAGAGATGCAGTGGGGTGCTGGGCCATGACCACCATCAGACATAATGCATGCAATTTGTGTTCATTTTATCATTGAACTGCAGTGGTCTTTGGCGACAGGTTGGGATAAACCATCAGGAGGGTACCTCTTTGTCATTGCTGGCGGTGTGTCATGGTGTTGCCTGACTTGTCATGTCATGAAACATGAACATGATAGTAGGGAGATGCTTCCCATTCCCAGCTGGTTATGGCACTCACCCCTTCCCCCAGCCTGCAGGTGCAGGTTCATGTCACCCTTCTGACCATGGTGGGGGATGCCACCTGTCTAACCCGGGCTGGAGATATCACCGGTGTGGCCCTGGACCGGGAGACGTCACCCGTCTGGCGGAGAGGGGGGGGGGGGAAGGGAGGCCGCAATGTTGCCCGTCTGGCCGGCGTGCCGGCCGGCGCCATTAGCGGGCGCGTGTGCCGGGGCGGGGCCGGAGCCGCTCCGTCAGCGTCCACTGGCGTCTCCGGCCTCTGTTTGGCCTCGGGCCGGCCAGCTCTGGCGCTAGGGACCGGCCGGGCCGCAGGAGGAGGCCGGCCCGGCTCTGCAGTGCGGAGTCATTGGCGAACTCCCGGCCAAACCCAGCGCGCGGTCTTTCCATATAGCGCGCGGTGGCTCCGGTATTCTCTCACTGAGCCCAGCGCGTACTGCCCTGCAGTTTAGTTGGGAAGTGCATACCGACTCAGATCCTTGTATGACGGATCAGACTTCTGGCTTCTGAGTCAGCGCACAGCTACAGCAAAGTGCCCAGGCCACGTGTTACAAAGTTATTTCACAGCAGTTGATAGGATGACATCGTGCTGCCAACTCCCTATTGTCATCACTGCATTGAGTCTCGTCGGTACCCGCACCCAGATGGAAAAGGCCTAGAGCGTGTGAACATGAGTCGGCCGGACGCGGTGGCCGGGTGGTGACCGCCCGATGCCGGGTCCAACCGCCCTCAGTCCTCGGCGCAGCCCTCGACGGACGGCGGCCGCCCACTCGGCACGACCGGGCGGCGCTGCCTCATTGGCTTCGGCAGGAAGTGACGGCGCCGGCCTTGGCTTGATGAGCTGGTGTGCGGCGGACGCCGCTAGCGGCAGCGTGCCGCGTGCACGGCCGGCGCGGGGGTGGGCCGTGACACGCGGCGATGGACACGCCGCCCGCCGCCGTGGCGACGTGGGCGTCCAACGGCCGTCCAGCCGGCCGGACGTGTGGCGTGAGGGGAGGCCTCGCCGTCGCCGGGGCTTGTGGCAGTGCCGCGGTCAGGCCCGCGCGTGGGAAATGGCGCAGTCTGTTGTGGGTTGGGCTTCTGGTCGTGGTCGTCTGCGGAGGACGTTCCGACGACCAGCTCACCGCAGAGGGGTCGTTGCTAATAGGACAATATTCCCATTGCACCAACGTCTCCCGCCGAGCATAATCAGGTTGGCTTTGATTCAGCATTTGTTCACTACAGGGTTTCAAAGGTGACCCCGCGCAGGGTTCTCTTCTGCATTCGGTAGCGGAGCTACTTGGATGTGTCGCCCCGACGTGCGCGTGGGGAGCAGCGTCACGACCGTCCGCCTGTGCCATCGACACGGCTCTCGATCGGGGCCGGTGTGTCCCGCTCGGGCCGCTCCGGCCGCTCCGGATTCTGCCCGGCCAGCGTGCCCTCTCAGCTGGCGGGCGACGCGCGCAGAGCGAGGTCTCGGCCTGCTGTCGTCGGCCAAACGCGGCACGCCGCACCCGTCTGTTTACGTCTCCACGGCTCCGAGCGCCAGGCCGACCTAACGACGCGGGTAGGGCGGACCCTGATGGACCCCAAACGAGCGGCGCCGGCCGGCCGACCTCTGCCCGCAGCTGTCCGGGCCGGGAACACTGACGTCATGCTGACCAGGCGCCAGCCGCGCCGCTGAACGCTAAGCTGACAGCACGGCCGACGGAGTGCCCACGGCCGGCGGAGTGCCCACGGCCGGCGGAGTGCCCACGGCCGGCGGGGTGTCCACGGCCGGCGTGGTGTCCACGGCCGGCGGTGTGTTCGCGGCCGGCGGTCCGTGCCGCCGCGCGGGGCACGGGGACGGCGGAGCCGGCCGGGCGTCCTGGTGCCGCCCCGCCCCCGTCCCCGCCCCGCCCCTGTCCACGGCCAAGGCCTTCCGTCCGGCGGTCTCTTGGAAGCCCTGCAGGGTTGCCGTCCTGCAATAGACTTGTGTGGGTTTGGAACTCGACGCTATTTTGTTCTACCCCCACCGGACTCATAAGCTACCACATGAAACACCATTATCTGACGGATCACCACTATGTGATAGCGAGACATTCTGTATGGATTTCGCTGAAGCACTTCAGCTTGTCAACGTGCCCTTGATTTTTCGCAGCTTTTGTTGTAAGTCACAAGTCCGCCGCCAGTGCCATGACCGACATTGCCACTAGCAGTCGGCGCCGGTCCGTTCCGGGGCTGGTCCTGCTGACCGTGCTATGACCGACACTGCCACTAGCAGTCGGCACCGGTCCGTTCCGGGGCTGGTCCTGCTGACCGTGCTATGACCGACACTGCCACTAGCAGTCGGCACCGGTCCGTTCCGGGGCTGGTCCTGCTGACCGTGCTGTGACCGACACTGCCACTAGCAGTCGACACCGGCCCGTTCCGGGGCTGGTCCTGTCGACCGTCGTCAGCCCCGCTATGTCTCCGCTCGCGGTCGCACGGCCCGCCGCGGTTCCGGTACGATGCGGGCAGCGAGGCACCGTCCCGCGTCCCGCTCCCGTGTCCCGACCGAGATATCCCATTCCGAGCCGCCATGGGACCGTGCAGTGGCGACTGCCGCCAGCCCAGATCCTCACACGGCTGCGCGGGATATCACACCGAAGAGCGGGGACGGTCCGTGGATAACAGAGCGTTGTGTTGGAATGCCTCTGCGGAGTGCATAACTACAGTGATGAATGCTATTCCTGAGCTGCAGGCAGTCTGCCACCGCGCGACCGGAGCGTCCGCAGCGGATCGTCGCACGCATCCTTATAGAGCGACGCCCCGGCGGCCGCCCTGCCGCCCGGTCGGCTGGCGACCCGCCGACCAGGCAGCCGGGCGCCGGGCCGGCGGGCCGGGCGCGGTCGGCCGGGCGCCGGGGCGTGGCCGCAGCCGCGTCGAGCCCGTCGGCCGCTGGGCCGGCGCCGACACTGCGGCCGCCGCCGCCGCAGCCGCCGTCCGGCCAGCACTGGCTGGCGCCGGACGATCGACCCACGCCGCGTGCCGCCCGTCCGGGCCGGCACGTGCGAGCCGCTTTGTCTGAAGTCGGTGGGCCGCGCGGAAGTCGGTCCGACTGTAGAGACCTGGGGGTAGGGCGGCCGGCTGACTTCAGTCCCCTGGAGTGGGCTGCGTGTGTCTGCGCGTCCGGTGGCCGCCGCAGCGAGCGGCTTCACGTTGACCCCCAGCAGGCCGGCCGGCAGCTCATCCCGCCCGTTTGTCCGGTCGGCCGGCCGGCCGGGGGCGTCATGCCACGCCCCGCGCCCAGAGCGTGCCGGGCCGCCCGACGCCCCCGCCGGCCGGCCCGCCCCGCGGCGGCGCGCGCCCGCCTGCCGCGCCGCACAATGGCCACAATGACGGGGTCGGCGCAGCGGCGTTCCGCTCTGGCGATTGGCTGACCGGTTTTTCTGGGCCGAGTTTTTTGGCAGGTCATTATGTGTATCTTGGCGTAATGTCGGGTGTGGACGTGTCTTTGGATTCCACGGTGCCGACCTGAGCGTTTTTCTGCACCGCGCTGCCGCTTGTTAACATCGTGCGTTTGAATGGGAATGCTTCACTGAGTAAGCAAGATTTTGATGCGCGACGACGAAGCTCACAACACGCTGTTTGGTAGTCCGAATAGCATCGACGCGAATCGTCTGATCTGGGTTGAATTCTGAACCCCCAAATTCGGGCCCATGT